TCTTTTATTCTTTACTCAATATCGTCATGGAGGTTATCATCTTTTTTCGTTTAGAAGGATTGAGAATTCTTTTCATCATACCTGATTTAATGCTGCTGAATGTCGACAATCATCTTTCGAATTAACTTGGACATTTCTAATAATAAAAGTTCCCTTGTTTATATTATCTGCTGCATAAGATAAAAAAGAAATAGATACAGAACATGATGCATTCTTTGTAGGACTAAGAATGACAGTGCATATTACCTGAAAATAATTTAAGTGTATGTAAAATGTAAACTAATAGCTACTTACCTTCTATTTCGAGTAAAATTTAAGTGCTTGACGCTTTACACTTTTTCTGAAATGTGACAAACATGAATGAACTATAGTTTTCGATAGGTCGTTATTTGTTCCTGTTTTGTTGACAATAGTCCAACAATGTTTTAAATGTGTTGAGTGCAGTATCACCATTGAAGAAGCTCATTATGACCATTTGAAATACTAATGCTCCATCTGAATGAACGACGAGTGCTTTTGGAAATGGAGTTTTAAATCTGTATAACTTTCGATATCCTGCTTCGAATTCTTGTAACCATTGAATGAGGTCCATCGTTGTGTGCGTAGTTGATAGCATTGCAATGACAGGAAAAAAGGTTCTGACAAGTTTGTTATTGTAACTGGTCGAATAGCAATATTAGCAACAGTTAGTTCATAGTAAAACACTTGTTTCCCTCTACTCATGACTATCCGTCCTGTAGCATCCCATGAGACAGGTACACTATTTCCTACTTTATTCCATAAAACCAGCGCTCCTTCAGTAAAAAACAAGGCGAAGTGGGTTGATTGTAATTGTTTGTAAATATCCTGAAACTGGCAATCTATGCAAATAGAAACTATTCTTTATTGAAGGCAAAAAATGATTATATTCAAAATCTATAAACGAAGATTTTTTCGTTAGTTTTGCGAAATCGTCTGTACAAATAAAATAAAAAGAATGGATGGAAAAAGAAAATGAAAAAAATGGAGAAACGAAAAAAATGACCAATATGAAATACAACTCAACAAGCCAAACAGAAATTAGAGCACAAATGCACAAAATAAATGAGACTGATGGTTTTCGTGAAAATTGATTATCTTTTACAAACAATAATAACGTTCACTAGAGATATTTTACTTAACCTATTTTGTATTAGTATATGCAGGTAAAATTTAATGACAATCTATTCTCATTGGTTTAGAAAATTTAGATCCAATTGTTATAACAGCCATCGATTCTAGTAAAAAAGTAGATAAATGAATTCTTGTTGATATATTTTCATTTTATGAATCGATATTTTTAGTCTTTATTGAGGGTGTGGGTATTGGTGAGAGAGTATGTATGATCCATCAACACATCCAAACAACATCTACACCCACACCAAGACGATAATGAGATAGTATTTTGAATGTGTGCAAGTAAGTCAGCATATAATTTTTCTAGATTCGATTCATTTATGAATGCCAGTTCAAATTGACGTCATTGTTCGATATTCGTTAACTAAAATACGTAGAATAGATTTTTCTGATACAATTAATATTTGTAGATTTTCTTTTATAATACCTGAGGATAATATTCTCGATCAGCAATTATCTGATTCTTCAAAATGAGCACTGAAACGTGATAACATCAATTAAAACCTAAAAAAGTGAAAGATATACTATATTATCTATGAGAATTCTTTTGGCATTTCATGACAAACNGACGCTCCGATCCTTCCTCTTGCTCCACATGGCGTTTTCTAAGCGATTATTTTATCATCATATGTAGGGAAATATTAGTTTATCATTAAATGTATCGAAATATTATTTATGAAGTCACTATTGAAATGGTATATAACCAGTTTGATACATGACGGGAAATATTGCTTTTAATATCTATGGATTAGCTTGTATGTAGTCATTTTCATTTTCTGTTATTTGTCTTTGCTTAAGTCAATTAATGGCGTATTGAAGGGGAAATTTAAAAAGAAAAAATCTTGCTTTTGGTATATACATTGTCTTACTGTTGATATAACTTTGATAGGGATGCTTGTCGCAGAATTAAGATGAAAATTTGTCTAAAAAATAATTCCGTCGACTGAAGGGAGGGTCATACGAAATAAAATGCGTTTGTTTGTTTGTTTGATTGAGGTCAAAAAAATATACAACAGAGGTCAGCTTATTTTAAGACTTTCTCTGTTTTGACGGCACTTTGCTATAGGTTATCCAGGATCCTGAATCCGAATCTGAAGTGCATTTCGTTGGTCGAGGTTTCATTGATCGGATACCGGCCAATCAGAAACGCACTTTCTTATTTTGAGACTTTTGGCCGTTTGCATCAAACTTTGCTATAGGTTATCGAGGATCCTGAATCCGAATCCGAAATTAATTTCTTTGGCCGAGGTTTCATTGGTCGGATATCGGCCAGTCAGAAACGAGCTTTCTTATTGTAGGCTTTTGGAGCTTCTGATCGAACTTTGCCATAGATTGTCGATAGCTCGGAATACGAATACGGAGTCGCTTTTTTGACCGAGCTTTCATTGATTGAGAAGGGACCAATTAGAAGCGAGCTTGTTCGCGCTGATCGAAATAATTTAAAATTCACGTACAATTGATGATGTGAAAGAGGACTTAAGTGAGAGAAGTCGAAATTTTCTTCAACTTTATGGGATAGGCAGAAAAGAAGGGATCGAAGAGGCTAAGTGTCTTGAAATGCTGAAGTCCCAGTGTTTGTCTGAATGTCATGCGAATGGAAGCTGCATTTTCTGAAACTATGAAAGAATCATCGTTCCCTCGTTTTCTTATATCGAATACAGCAATTGAAGAAATGAGACATATGACTAGAGCTTCACGTTTCCTAGAAAATGGAGCCAAGAACTAAACAGAAAACAATTTTCTAATCTATAATGAAAGCCCGTATAAAAATTTGTTTTAAATAGAGTTTATGATTTCTTATGTAATTGCTAGGATAATTGCTATGATACCTATCGAAACAAGTAACGGGACATTTTGGTCGCTAAGTCCTCTACTGAAAGGAGTGTAATATGGTAAAAACACAATAGCCCGGATAGTTCCAGAGCCTTAGATTCCATCCATTGATCTTTCCTATTCCCTCGATTGAAGAGAGGGTCATATGAAATAAAATAAGTTTGTATGTGCCATGGTCAAAAACACATAGACCAAAAGATCGATGGTCAGTTGTTTTCGACATCTAGCTCTTGTAAGTAGGATTCGGAAATACGAATAGTTCTAGACATAAGTGAAAATTTGAGAGAAAACAGAAACATCGTCGGACTATGATCTTCGGGGATTGAGAGATGGGTTTAGTTCAATCGTGGTAATCGACTGCGAGCTGTTTGCTTAAGTAAATCTTAGAAGTTCAGAATGGAAAATAGAATGGTCCGAATATTTTACAAAATGAGCATCACTGAAATACTATAGACAGATTTTCGTCTGTGCACGTGTTGCACAATAATTGTTACACGATAACAGATGATAACGAGACTGAATTCAGTCGAGGGTTAAGCGAGTCCTGCTGACGAGCGTTACTTGTTATTAGATGTGCCGAAAGCGAAAAAGGATGTCAAAACTGCTTTTTCATCTTGATTCCTTCGACAGCTACTTTCAATGAGTGAATGCAGAGGAAACATAATACTAAAAAAAGCAATTCAGAGTTATAGCAGAAGACATCCTTCAGATTATTCTCATATCTATGAACGCATCTTTTCTCGATTTTTGACGACGCTTATTTAACTCTGTTTTGCTGCGATAGCTGAAGGAAATTTTAATATCTACTTTATCGCGGCTAGAAAACATTTCTATGTATTTGCTAGATGTTGCGAAAAAGTATCCAAAACTACTGCAGTTATCACTCAGATCAATGCAGTTCGATTCTGATTGATTCAAATGGATGACCATGAACTACATACCATTTTATACATTTTATGATGCGATCACTTTTTATTCTTGTNTAAAATCAACACTCTTGCCAAACGTTTCGAGGACGATGAGATCGACCGCGCCCAATATCTCGAGGGACTCTCTTTATTGGTTGCTAGTAAAAAGTGAACTACATCACTTCTCTTCGTATCAAATGATTTCTCTTCTTTATTGTACATGTTTCTTTGTTAAATAAACTGTTGAATCTTTTTTACAGAATTTTTCCCGATTTTATCTTTTCCGGATTTTTTTTCCGGATTTTTTTTTCCAGATTTATTTTTTTCCAGATTTATTTTTTTCCGGATTTTTTCCTCCGGATTTTTTCTTCCGGATTTTTTTTTCCGAATTTCGGGACAATACCTTTTAGAATAAAGACCTGGGTGATTGACTCAGTAAATATATTTAATCACATGTCAGTTTATATTAATTTTACACATTATAATGATTAATGATGTAAATTCACATGAAAATAATTTATTCTATACATAATAATATAATATTTTATAAAAATAACATCAATTTACTTCAATTATTCAAGAAAAATGTTTTTCATATTATTTTATTCTATTACTATTATTAAATATACAGACGAAAAAAAAGAACTGTAAACATATATTTATTGTTGAACTTAATATGTTTCACAAATTATATATAAAATATAATGGAGTAGGTTAAATTTTATTGAGTTATATATGAACCCCGAAAGCAAGCGTTTTTATTTTTGTGTTTGCTATATGGTAGATTCAAAAATCAACACTAACAAACAACAAATCGTATATTAAAACATTATTTTAGTTGCATAATTGACAAGTGAAACAACAATATCAAATTTTGTTACTTATAAAGATGTCAACTTAGCATTAATCTTGACATTATATTACATTAATAGTACTAACATATATATATTGTGTATTAATTAATGTTAATTTAATAACACTAGAAAAGCATTAAATTATTTTTTAAAATTCTCATACCTAAGCATTATATAACAATAAAAGAACATTAATAAAAACAAAAAAAGAACTATTTCTTTTATTAACTTCATCAGAACAAAAACAAACTTACAACAAAGGAAAATAAGTATAAAAATCTTCTGAATGTACAATTAACTTTTCAAAAATTAAATTTTTCACATTAATACAATTAAGACGTGTTGTATCTCTTGTAAAGTTTTCTGTAACAATTCTTAATTCATCATAATCGACTGTTAATTCAGTAAGACGAGGTAGATGTGTTTTTGTTTGATTGAGAAACTGTTCGACATAATCAATATGAGTATAGAAGATAGAAAGCGATATAAGAAAAGGATATTCAACAATTGAATGCAATTGATTATCATTGGAATTCAATTTGTGTGACATCTGTAACTGCGGATGAATATTCAGAATACGCATTTTTTTAAGTAATGGGAAAAAGCGAGCAATTCGCATGAAAAATTCATGCAAAAATGGACGTATATCATGCATCATCAATTGGGTAACACGACTAAAAGCCATTGACGGCAAAGTATTTCCAACATATTCAAGATAATCAAATGCAAACGGTAATGAGAAAACATTGCATACAACACTATTGGTAATTCGATTTAGAAAACAACATACTTGTTCATATCCTATGTTAACAAAAGTTTGTTGAATATCGTCGTTCGATAAGTGATGAACCATATGCTTTAGTTTAGTTTTGGTACTAATATAAAAAGTAAATTTAGAAAGTCGTGGCATATGAATAAGAATTTTTTCGTTAATTTGAGTGCCATCGACAAATGAACTTCGTTTCTCATTAATAATATTCAAACTTAATTCTTCAAGATTAAACATACGACGAAGAAGAGGTACAACATGAGTATCATATTCATCATTTGGACAACGACAGGTTAACGAGAAATATTTCATATTATGCAGCATATTCTAAAAAACACAAATCAGTATTTCTTAATATATTGTTATCCATTAGAAAAAAATACGAAAATATAAATCGAAATACTTTAACTTGATAAAATGTATCTAATCATATATAAACTTACAATATTGTAAACAACTGATGGATGATATTCTGTACTATTAATATTAACAATCAACATAGACAGATGTTTGAGACGACCATCAAGTAAAGCAAAACAATCTTCGAAAGTATTGATATGAAGACATAATTTGTAAAGATTTGAAGAGAAACAAGTAGCCAAAGATATATAATTAATTGAGAAAATTGGCGGTAATCCGATAACAGATAAGTGTTTCAGATTTTCAAAGAGTTTGAAAGTATATTCGTACACAAATTTTGCATTTTTATTCATTAATAATATGTTAAATTCGTTCTTGCATACAAGAATAAGATCGGTAATTTGTTGTTGAAAAATATGTCGAAATGGTGATTCGACTAAATAAAGAACAATCAAATATTGTGCAATATTTATACTGTTTTCAATGAAATCTTTTTCTTTACTTGAATACGAAAATCGCTTACCTGTAAAATAATGTGAAACAATATAATCGTTAACATTATACAGTTTAAGTTCAGTTAAATTAGGAAAATCAGCAGCGAGTAGAATACGTTCCATACACTCTGATTCAAGAATAAGGGATCTAACATTGCAATTGATTTTAGGCAAGATATCAATGCAGTATCGATTAAGTATCGAATCAGCAATCGGTAAAACATCATTACTTGTCGTTGTTAATACAAAATTGAGAGTCTTAATGAAAGCTTCGCTTTGTAATATAGGATCAAGTCGTTGATTATCAACACCAAATAATGAATAGAGAACATCTATATTGTTAAGCTTCTTCAGAATAAGAAGTAACATTTCATTAGGTAAATCAAACAAGGTAATGCATGACTCACACATTCTAATTTTGATTAACGTAATGCTTTAGATGCATTTATCTATATATATTCATTGTTTCTTTATATTCATTGTTTCTTTGTATTCATTGACGCCATTCAATAAAATGAATGGATGACCCTCCCGAAAAAAACAAAGAAAAGGTATAGCTTTGATAAGTAAGGTCCCGAACACACTGAAAAAAAAATAAAACACAGTTAACTAATGAGATTTCGTAAAACGCTAAAACAGAGTTAACTCATCTTTTTGAGACGAGTTAACTTAATTCGACAATCGCATATCATGTCGCTTCTCCAATCGAAAAAATAACTTGTGGTGACTCTAATTTAAACATTTTTTTTCGTCGTGACGTATACACACGTTGTTTGTGTTAAATTTTATTCCATGATGGACAATCGATTTTTTTCTATGATAAAATTTATTCACTTGATTGATGGATTAAGAAATTTTTTGTACAAATTTTAATGAATATGCCTGTTCTAGTGTAAAATAAATTATTGATGAAAAATTTCTTTATCTTCAAAAATTACAAATTTTTTTAAATATTTTCAACATAGCTGATACTATGAAAAACTGTTCAAAAACGATCTAATTCTTTTAAAGTATTATCACATGAATTTCGTTTATGAACTCTTCCAATGCATTTTTAATTTTGAAGATGTATTTAATGACAGTGTGGGTGTGGGTGTGGGTGGGTGTGGGTGTGGTCATGTAAGTGAAGATCGCAAGTGCACCCAACCACACCCACACCCACCCACACACCCACACCCTTATTGTGTGACTTTAGTTGCCGTGTTGAATGTTAAAAGTCTAATGAAGATATTCAGATAAAAATCAAAACGTTAGCTATGAATAAAATTTACCGAGACTGCAATATCTAATGATTATTGATTTACAGATATATTTATAAAAGCATGTTGATTCTTTCTCACAATAGCACCACAAAAGTAAACATTAAACAGGCAAACTACAAACAACTGTAAGCATTTATTAATTAGAGTCATTGGAAAAAAAGTTGACATAAGCACGCGCCAATTGAATAAACAAATCCCAAAGAGAAACCACTAAGGTAACAATTGAAGATTTGATTGACCAAATTAATCAAATATTCGATTTGATTCGGAAAAAGAAGAAAAATCATCGTGGCAATGAGAGTTATGAAACATAACAGCGTGTGGGTGTGAGTGTGAGATGGTGGGTGTGGATCTTCTCTTCAACAACACCCAGAGCCAGAGCCTGACACCAACATTCACATCCTCACTTACACACCCACACCCCCACTCCCACTAAAACCCATATTTCAACTTATGAATAATATTTTTTGTTTTAAGATAGAAATATTGAGTAACTGGCTGGTCATCATTAATTCAAGTGACTTTTTTATCATAGTTTGTTGAATTACAGGATCATTTTTAATTTGTGTTGCACTATTGGCTAGTAAAAATGAAAGTATGTAAATAAATTCATGTGAGCTGGTATCTTTTGAATCAATGAGCTGTTTTGTATTTCAGATCGCAAACAACAAGATGAATAATGAAGGTGTAGTTATGGGAAGTAGTGTATCAACTGTAACAATGAGATCTGCAAAACAATCTCGTGTATGGGCTTATTTCGAAAAAATTTATGGTGGTCAAGGTTTAAAAGCGTAATTTTTAGTTGGTGATTATGGGAAAGTCTTGTCAACACCTTTACATTCAACATCAACATTGATTCGGTATTTACGTGATGTTCATGAAGTGGATGAGTTCAAAGAAAAGGAAAAGCTGGTATATCGTTCAAAACAGAAGTGCATACCAATGAAATTGAAAAAGGACTTGGATCGTGCTGCTGTAAGAGCAATAATTGAAGACGGACGTAGTTTTGGTGATTCTTCCAAATATGGTGTTCAGAAATTTATTCAGTTAGCTTTATCAGGTAAACATATTTGTTTGCTTTTAGTTAAGTGTTTTTTTCTGGTTTAGGTTACAAGCCTCCATATCGCCATTCAATTAGTACTGAATTAAAACGTGTTCATACAAAACATTTTTTTTATTATGATGAACTCATTGTCTAAGTTATTATCGATCTCGGTTAGTACGGACTTTTGGTGTGACAATAAAGGTATATCATTTTTTTGTATTCACTGGTCATTATGTCAGAAACGATTTCGTTTCAAAATCAACGATACTACGGTTTTGTTCCTTTGAAAAAGTTGCAAGCAACACATGTGATTCTGCACCAAATATGATAAAAATGTTTGATTACTTTTCACGTTCTGATATAACACGTATTCGTTGTCATGCTGATTTGCTTCATCTTATTGTGTGTAATGGCCTTGATCTGTGGATCGAGAAAAAAGAAACATCAAAGACTACAACTAATGATACAAATCCATATGATTCTGAACTACGCCTTAGTGATTCTTTACAAAAAGTTAATATAATTGATGATGATCAATCGATGAATGAAGTACGTATTATTGAAAATGATGGTGAATTTACTGAAATAAATGATGAAAATGGAGATTCGGTAATCGTTCTTTAATCTTCATACAAGTAATACTTGCTTGTCATTGACTTATTATAGGATGAAGAAGGTACTCATAATAATATAAATCAAGATGATAATGGTGGAGTTTTTTTCAGATGAAGATGATTCGATTTCTATCAATAGTGAATTGGATATTGAAAGTTTAGACGGTTCCTGTCAAAATAACTTTGAAGTGGGTGTTGATGTGCATCCCAGTGAAAGTTCTGATTTATCATTGCCACAATCTGATCCACGTATTTATGTAGTTGTCAACAGTATGTAGTGTTTCTTTTTACTATTTCGCATGCATCTATATTTTCACTGACTTTTATATTTTGAGAATCCAAAATTTATTTCTTTTGATTTTTATATGAAGAAACTCGACAACTTCTTGATATTATAAAAAATTCCTCAATATTATCATCATTCATGAAAAAGAAAAAATATGAATATAATCAATACAATGATAGTAAAATAAAGTGTTCATTATTGTTAGATATACGTAATCGTTGGAATTCAACGTACAAGATGTTAAACACATTAAATATTCACCGGCCAATAATCAATGAATTATTTCAAAACAAAATAAATTTAGATATAACAAAAAACAACAACAACGTTTAAGCGTATTAGAATTAACAAGTGATTATTGGTATATAATTGAATTATTAATTAAAATATTGAAGCCATTTTATCGAGCAACTAAAGCACTTAGTGATAGTGATTATCCGACAATAGGAATTACATTATTTATCTTCCGTCATCTTGAAAAAGATTTCTTATCTAACATTAGCCCAACAGATGATCCATTATTTAATAATATGAAAAAATGTTTATTAAGTAAAATGATTTATTATAATATCGTAAAAGATCCATCACAAACAAAAGCAATTGTGGTGAGCTGTTTATAATATTATCGACATATGTATAATGATGTAAGTAAACGGTTTTTTCAAATTCTAGTTCTACGGATACTTCGACCCTTATGGTATATCAGTTATGACAAATAATGAAATTAGCAAAATAGAAAATGAAATAAAATATATAATTCGTCAACAAACATCAAATAGTTCAACACGAGCATCATCAACAACAGAAAAAGAGAAAAAAAATCATTACTCAATTATTTTCTTGATTCATTAGCTGATGAAGATACTCAACAGGTTAAAAAGCAATCTTCAACGTTAAATAAAACATTAAATGATGAATTTAAAACTTATAAAAAATTAGCTGGCTAATTTGTATCAACATCAACTGATTTATATCATTCACTTCAATTTTGGAAGAAAAACAAGTTATTATTACCCAACTTAGCACCACTCGCACAAAAATATTTATCTTCTCCAAGTACTAGTACAAAATCTGAATCAGCATTCAGCATATCTGCCTATTATGGTGGTAAAAAATGAGCTCAACTTTCTTCAGAAAATCTTGGCTATTCCATTTTTCTCAAAGATAAACTATCAAATGAAGATAAATAAGAACTGTTTAAATATTTCATGTATTAAAACGTTTTGTTTTTTTGTACCACGTTTTTTTGTTATCTTTTTCATATTGAATATGTTGAAAAAGTATTTTTCTTGTATATCAAAAATAAATAAAATTTACATAGTGGACTACTATGTCATAGATGACAAGTTATTTATCTCTTGAAATTATTTAAGCTTTATCATTTCTTTACAATTATGCATAAGACTGAGCGTAAAATGTTTGTATATGGATATCTCATCTGCAAAATGAAGAATTGATTCTCACAATTCTTCTAGTTGTAAGCTTTCACATAGTTTTTTACTTCAATCTTTTTCTCAAGTATAAGTTATATGTACGTAAGTTAGACAAGATCTAACTTTATTTCATGACGATCTCTTTAAAATCTTATAAAACATATTGAAAACAAAGAACACTGCGTTTGTCTTATATATAAAAGTTAATATGTTACTCTGATCATTCAATTAATATGTCGATCTGAAGACAAGTCTTTTTACCGCATAATATAATTACACAGTAAATACCATTAGTGATCCAAAAATCTACTTTTAGTAAAACTTGCAGAGAGATATAATGCAATTCATCGTGTTTTCGAAAGCGTGATATTAATTTTGCTATAGGAAATAGTATTTTGTACCAAAGTCGGCCTTAATTTAGATAAATTTTCACTTACATTTCTTGAATAACATGCAGATGATCTAGACTTTTAATCTTTATTAAGAATCTCTCTTGCTTCTTCCCATCGCATTGTAATAGGGTAGCCTGAAACACACTGAGGATGGAAAACTTATTTCTTTATGATGCATTACTGTTAGTTTCACTTTGTAATATAGAAATCTGAACCCGAGTCCGAACTCCGGACTCGAGTTCGGGTTCGTTGCATGCCTAAACACACCCATACCGACACTCGAATCTATTCGAAAAACAAACTGAGCGCTTTTTTAGAGAATTAAATTCTCTATTCGTTGATATAAAAGCCAAAATCTCAAGTGGATTTTTTAATACTTTAAAGATAGGACATAAAAATACGTAATTTATAGATGTGAATGTGATTGAATAATATATGAGTATTACATTCCTTTATATCCACATCCCGATACGTATCTATTGAGTTCATGTGTCAGAATCATAATTATTGTGTTATGCTGATAACAAAGCGAAAATGAGTAAGAACAACAATAATTACAACATAAACATGTATATTTCGAGTTTTGTCGTCAAATCTGTACGGAACGCATGATACGAAATCGATTGCTAATTTTTGCAACATTATCAACGAGATGAGGTATGAAAAAGTGTAATCCAACAGACAAACCACCAAATACACTCAAAAAAGTTGTTAAGGTTTCTAGAGCATTAAACCGATAATGGTATGTATAGATACATTGTTTCGGAGCGCAAAATTCAAAAAACAGATTATATGATACATTGCTCACCCAAGTTTCAATAAATGCTTCGTAAGCCAACATCTCAATTGTATCATTAATAGAAAATCTTGACGATGTAGCGTCGAAAAAAGATGAAATATTCCCAAAATCTATCAATTGTGAAAATTTCCACCCAAGTCCAAGAGATGCCATGTTGAGAAATTCATCAATACAGTCCAAAGAATAGAAGCAGGGCAGTGAAGATTGTAAAATCGATTCAATCATAAAGCAACCACGCATTAAACCTGGGATTACATAAAAAGATATAGAATCCAAGAAGATCTGTGCTGGTACGGCACAAGATCGTGTTGTGGAACATGAACAAGTTTTTTTCTGACCTGGAACATCAAAATTAACTGGTAAAATAAAAAATGGAACATGTTCTTCATTGCTAGTATTAGCTTTGGCTATTTTCCAATTAGTAGAATAGACGCTCAATAATGCGTTGCTTTGTATTATGGTACGAATCGGCTCTAAAGTTCGACTAAATTCACGTGGAATGGATGTTTGCAGTTCATTGAAAGTTGTATTCATTTTACTGTTGAACTGTAATCGAGGTATTATTTGGAATGTCAACATGCTCGATGCAAGAAAATTTTGAATAGCATTGACCACATTTTCTTGCGCCATTGAACAGAGTTGATTGATGCCATCGGCAAAGAGATTTACCCATGAAAGGAAATCTATCGAATTCGTTAAAGTATGTCCCTCTGCGTATGGCAGCATAAGTAGGGGAATGGTTGAACGAAGTAGATCGCTATCGCATACTTGATGGAACGAGCTAACTTCAAGCTGATTAACAAACGAACTATAAGGAATTGATATTTGCGAGCATGAACAATCCAAATTTGTTGAATAGATATTTTGCAAACGCTCATACTCCATAATCGATGGGTACAAATATGTTTTTGTTGAGATATGGCTACTGATTGATGAATAGAACATGATAATACTGAGGGAGCTAATGAGCACAACGAGATAAACTCGAGTATAGATTTGTTGTTTACGTACGTTAACTCCATCAACAAAAGTTGATTCAAAAAGATTTAGAGTTTTGATTGATTGAACGATTTTTGACATGAAAGTCTTGGCAGAGGTGTTTATGATCGGCACTAATAAGAAATTGTATTAGCAATGTCAAGCATTTTTAGTTTAAATATCTCATGCATTACTATGATTTTACGTGAAGTTTTAGCAGTGAATAATTTTTTCGTAAGTGGTAGAGATGAGTAAGATTGCTTTTTTTGTGACCATAGTCGAAATAGTTTTAGAATTTTACATCATTTTGTTATTATGTAAACGCTTGTCAAATGATTACTCTACATATATCGGATGTTCTCTTTCCGATTTCTCAAATATTGAACATCTTCTCTTGAGTTTATTCGCTGAGAAACAGTCTTTGTGACGAATAAAAAATTAAAAAACCTTCAGGAATAGTTCAGACATCTTTGAACTATCATTCAGAAGTGCATGTTGAACTAACCATAAATTTAATATGCTGTTCAACGAAAGATCTTCTGTCAAGAATAAAAATTCTGTTACTGCTAATATAATAGAAAAGTGAAATTCTGGATATTCAAGTTCGTGTATTTCAAAAAACGTGGACAGAAATCTAGAAGATATATTTGAAAAAGAATGTAGAATGATTTGAATCGAAATAAAATATTTTACTGGCAGTTAGAAGGGTTTGGTTTGACTTCTGTTGCATTATACAAAAAGAAAGAAAAGATGACTAATAGAGGTATGAACGTGAATTTTAATGTCGCACCGCAGTGCTTATGTTCTTGTTGTTTTTAAGAAAAAACATACTAGGCAGTGTACCGCTACAGTAAATTTTAAAATAATCAGAAAATCAGGATATAATATCGATTGTAGCGATTCCACTGCGTAGGTGGAAAAAGTAACGAACTATGAGAAATCGAATTAGTACTAGAACTCGCTAGGTTATTAATTCTAAACTCTGCTAGTAATCATTTTGAATCATCGCAATCTTATGCTTTTCATACAAGTTCCAGGCTACATGTATATATTTTTTTATTTTTACTGCTCTTGTCGTTATACAAAATAGATAAATTCTTCACTTTGAATCTTAATCTCTCTCGCGTTGTTTATTATTCTATGTAGATAGAATAGTAAAACTTTTCATTAATGCTATCCTATTGATATTACTTTGATTACTGATCAATGAGAAATGATGTCATTCAATAGACTATACTATAGCGTTTTCTAAAAGGCACTGGAATCTAGACCCATCATGGTTGATCATACACCAATCGGTCATAGCGAGTAACGGTGATTGGTTTCAATAACCGATCCTAACAATCGTAAATAACGCTTTATGATACATGAAAGCCATCGTAAATCAGCATCTACGTCTACTGTAACTAATCTGAAATAGGATTATCATTTTTTATTGTAATCGATCACAAAAGACTAACAAGTGTAAACTGAAACCTATGCAGAATCAGCGAAGTCATTGACGAATCAAAATCTACGTATAGTTTTTCATGATTTTCTGAAAATATTGATATGTAGCATTTTTTAAGTTGCTTCCAGAACAAAAAAAAAGGAAATTTGTAAAGATAATGGAGATGTCACAGTTTATTCGACATTCCTCCTGAGATCTATGCAGAACTACGCCAAATATAACTGAGCAGAAATCCTCTTTTGATGAAGATATACTATTTCTTTTTCGATACATGACGTTGGATACCTGCCGTACATATATCCAGTTCAATCTGATGGTAAACAAGGCGTAAACATTTTTATTAGTGTTATACGATTAGGCAAATCGTATTTAGAAGCACTGATGAAACGCTAATCTGAATAAACAGTCCTCAAAAAAAGTTAAATAAACTGCAACCTGCGATAAATTGAAAATATGTTCATTGTACCAAAAAAAGGAAATTTTCATTTTGAATGGATCTCATAGAGAGCTTTAAGTTGTACAACGTTTCAAGACAGCTTGAGCAAAATTCATAAGCAGAAATTGTCTTTAGGTTACTTTAACTTCTTAGTCATCTATCTATGCTCGAAGTAACAGATCAAAAAGTAACAGAACACATCAAGAACGAGGTTCACTCCCTATGACGGCACTTATCATCATTTTGAGTTTTAAAAGAAAATCCAAATCTTTCAAAGTTTCAGGTGTTTACGAGACATTTTTTGGGTAATGGAATTCATGAAACAGCAGTATCGGTATAGAACTTTTTTTCGGTGCATAATGATTATTTTGGTTTATGTTTTCCTCATATGTCTCTTTTTTTTCTATGTCTCCACTTTTTTTTCATACTGTGTGCCTGCTTTGTCATTCAGGTATGCTTACCGCGACNCATAGCAGACATCCTTCCGATTTCAAATATTCACTTTACAACATTTTGCCTCATCAATTATGAATGACTAAAGTTGGTCCAAGGAAAAAAACACATCACCACACCTACTTCTAACGATGTGTCAATCATCCCAGACATAACATTGATATATATTTATTCACTCTCAGAACGATGAGCCCATTTAAATATTGTAGTGTGTGATAGACCACTATCACTGTGAGCTGTGGCCATAAACTCATAAATGTTCAATTGAAACTAGCCTGTGGAAAAACCAAAACTTCACTGAGCTCTGTAGCTTTTTTCAGTATATAAAGAGTGATCTCAAAGGTATTTTCATATTTTCATATCTACGCATCATTCAAAAGGGCTTACGGTGTCTATGGCTAGAGGAGTGTATATACTACACACAGACAATAAAACACACTCAGCAGCTCTTTCTATTTTTTTTGTAATAAAATCAGTCCGGATACTTTTTGAACGCGCTACGTATAGAGCGTATGGCTGGTGGTCGAACATGTGTACCTAGAAGTAATGTTGATAATAGCATTCATTTTTGTTGTTTCGATCAAAATTATTGTAATGAAGTAGCCAACAGTAATACAGTCTTGATCAATATTATTTTACTAATAATAGCTTTATTGTTCGCTCAACTTAGCATCCTATCATAAATAATTATATATAAGTTGAATGACATTTAAACTTTCATATATTCGCTTTTCATTAGCTTTATAACTTCTCTTCTATAAATGTTCTATCTGCAGGTATTATTGAGTAAATGAAGAACAAGCAGGTTTGTTTTTTTTTCGATGAAGTTGCGAAACGTTGACCGACAGAATTGCGAAAATTTTGACCTTTCTAGCCACAGTATCCTAATCTTTCTCAAACTTCCAGTCAACCAATTATGAAAAGGATGACGAACGTGCAATTCGATAGTGTGGGCGAGGACAAAACCTGTAGGTTCTATATTATTGTTATGACGTTCGAAAAAAATATTTTCAACATTTTGCATCTCAACTTTTTGCTCTTAAGCCGTTTTTTGTAGTGCATATTATTTCCAAACGCTGGAATACCCATTGATTATGCTTAACAGATAGCGTAATTATAAGAAATCAACCAGATATTAGATAGTCTATGTGTATGACTGTATTTCTTTGAAATATCTTGGTTTCTTACTACTAGTGGCTCATGGTTCACTTTTATAAAAGATTTTGAAATAATAAATGAATAGTGGTACTTTGGCAGACAAAGTATCTGCTAAACAGTATCAAATTATTAAAAAAGAAGAAAAAAGAATGTACTGTCCATTTCAAAATATAGCGCCCTCAATTCTTTTTTGAATAAATAAAGAACGCCAACAGCTAGGAACCTGCCGTTTTCACCAATCGAATGAGGAGACAGGGGGACGTCTTTTTCCCCAACACTGCATAATATGCAATCATTTTAAAATCAGTCATTTCTGCAAGACATGACAAAAAATGTATAAAACGGTCTAACATTCAGATCAAATTTTGACAAATCGTAAGAAAATATGCTTAAAAATTAAAAGAAATTCATATTTTTCGTGCGATTGAATAAATGATTTTGTTTGTTCAACGTTATGATATGGAAATATAATCATTCTAATTATATCGTGAGCTATAGATCTGAAGTCTCTCTATCTAGATAACATGTCAAAACCAAAATTTCATCGGAGTGACAAATCGTTTTCATGTATTCTTAGTAATGTTTTGCAGAAATGACTGATTTTAGAATGATTTCGTCTTATACAATATTGGAGAAAAAGACATCCCTATGTGTCCTCTTTCGATTCGTGAAAATCGCAGGTCTATTGCTGTTTACGTTCTTGAGTTATTCAAAAAATAATGAAGGGTACTATATTTTGAAACGGATAGTAGTTACTAATAATTATGTGGTTAGCTCAAACATATCATCAATTAATTTAACTGATGATATGAATATTGCATGTTTACAACATGAAGCAAACATATTAGCTGATTAATTTTCGAGTATTATCTTAGAAAATAATTTTGGTATAAAGAAAATTTCAAAAATTCAAATTATCTGTGACATATTCAATGTACAATCTATTGGAAAAACTATGCTATGTGAATTTAATACGCCAACACGTTTATATTCAACATTATGAATGGAATAAATATACATCTACGATCGAGCATGGCACAATAACGCTTCAATTGTGTCATTATTTCTCATATTCACATCGAAAAATTCGATAAACTACACTTAAAAAAATGTATGCTCTGATTTTATTTCAAAAAATGACATTAGAAAAGTTTTTTTTTCTGATCGTGAATAGTGTTTTTTTTAGCTCTGCTTGTTCTCTTCACTTTAGATTAGGTTTAAGTTTTTATGCACGCGCTAATCATATACTAGAAAAGTTAATATTGTAGTAAAATTTTTCATTATTTTCAAAGATTTGAAGTGAATGATTGTAGAAATATACTTTCAGTAGAGTGATGATTACAAAACTAGAAACTCGTCTGTTTTTCATCTTGCTTCTTATCAGCGTCCGGAAAAAAATTTTGAACTTTCCCTAGATTAAAATCGTTCTGCCGCTTATGCACACATCCTAAACACTCTCAATCACTTCTGTCGCACTAAAGCGTTTAATGATCAAAAGAAAGTTTTCCTCATCATATATGCACAATAACATACAATAAAATATAGTTTGAAAAATAATTCAAGAATTGATTCATTTAAAATGATTATTTGATTATGGATAAAGATAATTTATTGATTAAATATAAATTTTGTAAATGAACACATATATTAATTATATTAATATACTATAGGAGAAGAGTAGCAAAGAAAAAAAAGGATAAATATACAAGCGACAATAAAATAAAAGGGAAACATGACAATAGTAATAATGATAGAAGAAAATATTTTTTATTCAAAAATTGTTAATTTGATGGAATTTGTATTTGAAGTACCTCAGCAAATAATTGTTTGAAGTTTTCAAGACGAAATGTTAAATTCTCGAGTTCAAACTTCAATTCTTTATTTTGATTTTTTAAATCTAAATGTCGACTCAATAATTCATTTCGTTCTGCCTGTTTCTTTTTACGATATTTTTCAGCTGCTGATTTATTTTGATCTTTCTTTCTTAATTTACGTTCCGTCGTTGATAAATTTGTTTTCTTTGTTGATTTTTTTCTTGAGATTCCAGGAGATAAACTTTCTGATGATATGGATGGTGATGGTGGTACAGTCATATCATCTGTTTTTTCAGATTCAACTGTACATTCTTCACCAATCCATGGAAATGTTGAATCATCAGATATTGGCGAATTAAGAACATCCGTTTGTGGCGACGGAAGTGATGAATGACTCGTGTATCTATCAAGTTGTAAAAAATCCATTGCTAGTTCTAATGAAAAAAGTTAAACATAGAAAAATCATAAAGTTTCTGTTTTTACCTGCTTTATCAAGTTCGCTTAAAACAGGAAGTTCAAATGTTGAAAATAAATCATATTGTTGTTCATTATTATCACTATTTTCATTCATATTGTCTTTCATTGGTAATTGATATTCATTTTTCTTCGGTGGAAATGAAGAAAAACAAATATCATTATCATCAAATGAAAATAAATCATTTGATGTTAAGATAGGATTTATAGGATTGATACTATTGACATGGCCATCGTTGATGGTTGGTGTCAAAAGTTCTCCAGGTTGATGGTATTCGAAATGCATTTTGTTTGTGTATATGTGAGACCGACAATGCGGAAATAATAGTGGCAAACGCCATTTTGATTTGCATGATTAGAGCTAAATAAGAAGAGAATCATTGATTATATTGTTTGAAATTAAAATAAGATTAACTCTTCTTTCTCTTTGGGACGGATGAACATACATTCTTCAAGACAGAGAGAAAGGGTCAAGCTCGATTCCTGGAGTAGTGTCATTCATGCACTGTTGAATAACAATCTAGTGATGGCAATGGACAAAGCTCTTTAATACCATTCCATATTATAACTGTTGCATATAGATCATTGAACATGTTCTTACTATAGGCATATTATTGCATCTTATTTCAGATACATTCTATTAATGAAGGAGTTGACCTGAGTATTCTAAAAAAGAATTATTTTAACTTACTTTAAAAAAGGGCACGTTAAAGTTCGTGCTCGCTAGCCGTAGCTGAGGCGCCTTAAAAGGTCGCGACTGTTTTAAAAAGTCATTATTCTTGAATGTGTCAAAAAAATGCTGATGAAATATATATATAACACAATTCAATTTTTCCAAGGACGAAGGAGAAACATGATGCAATGTTATTCATTACTATATGACACATGAAATGAGAAAGACTTGTTTTTATGTATGAAATTGTGAAAAAATTGATTTTTGACATTTATAATAATTCAGAAGGATATTAAAAAAATAAAATTCTTTAAAAAAGGAAGTAAATTTACAATAGATGTCACTACTTTACAAAACCAGTATTTGGACAATATATGGGTCTCTTTTTTGAAAATATTCTACAGGAAATTTTGTTCGTAATTTTTTCTTTATTACATTGAACAAAATAAACTTTGAATAAAATACATCAAATTATGTCTGTATTCAAACTACTAGTTTTCTAGAAAACGTCTGACAAGTTTTAACTCTTGATAATTAAGTTTGATTGATCGCTTAGAAAAAGAACGATATCGAGACAGAATATAACAATATGGCAGATGAAAAAACTCATTCATTGAATATCTTGAGCACAAGCATCGATATTTCACTGGTATGAAATTATTTTTAAACTTTGATAAATAATTTCTTTTTGCTGTTGGATTTTCTAGCTTGATTATGTTCAAAAATTAATTATATTGCCAGAATTAACAGATGAAATGTGGACAAATGATCGATTAACTATTCTAGAAAATTATCTTTCATCGAATCAACAACGTGTTCTTATTGCTTATGTCGATCGACGTACTGCATCGTTGCAACTTCTTCATTCGATTTCATCTACTGGTATTTCAGTTAATATTATTTATAATTTATGTTATCTTATTCGTAAAATTGATTCATCAGATTGTATTATATCAATTGATGAATTTCTTAAACAGATTCAATTTGGATGTGTTAATGGAAAATCAATTCCATGTTTAACAGCATTTGTATCAACACTATTTGGACCATTATTTATGGATAATACAACAGTACAAGATAGTATGTAATAAATGTTTAATATATTATTTAAATTGATTTCGTTTTTTTTTGTAGTGATTAAAAATGATTTTTCTAGTGAACTCAATCAATTTTTAGCAACATTCTATGAAATGCAATATAAAAAGATGTCATCGATGACATATTTATTTATTCCAAAAGATGGTATTGATAAAACAATTGAAGAACTAATTAAAGACAAAGCACTTGTTGCAAGATTTGAAAGTAGATATATATATATATATATGAAATGGTTTTTATTTATTGCGCATTAGTAAATTCTTTTGCTTCCAAACGATTATATGAAATCTCGATACTAACTAAAAAAATAATAGTATTCATGTAGAAAGATAAAAAGCTACGTTTTCATGAAGGAAATAAAGAAGAAGACTTGACGAGGAAACTGCTACACAACTGACACTTGCTGTTTAACCATTTATTTGACTCACAAGTAGATCTCAGTAAGACCAGAAAAAGCCGCAAAAGGTTCGTCTTCATTATCTTATAAAGCCGGTTTATTAAATTTTCAATCCAAAATACGCAACTTGATTTCTATGAAATATCTGTGAAAAAGGAACATTCTTTTCAACTGAAGTTTCCAGGGTGTTCTAACAGTCACTAGATCAATCAATAGGCAAAATATAAGATTAAAATTTCGTGGCTTTATTTTTCAGAAACTACTTACAAATGAGTCGAAAATTCAGTAAATGAGTCACGGCTCGATGTCAAAGGCCCATGAGGACGAACCCTTTTAGGCGTTTGCTAGTCTTGTTGAGACTTTCTTCTGAGCTCAATACAGGTTTATACAGCAATTGTCAGTTGGAATAGATACCTCATGAAAGAAATATTGTATTGTACCTATTTTCAAAAAATTAAGTTTCAATTAATTTTATTTCTAGATTCATNATAGAAATCAAGTTGCGTATTTTGGATTGAAAATTTAATAAACCGGCTTTATAAGATAATGAAGACGAACCTTTTGCGGCTTTTTCTAGTCTTACTGAGATCTACTTGTGAGTCAAATAAATGGTTAAACAGCAAGTGTCAGTTGGAATAGATACCTCATGAAAGAAATATTGTATTGTACCTATTTTCAAAAAATTAAGTTTCAATTAATTTTATTTCTAGATTCATATATCCTATGATTGTTCGATGATACAAAAAAAAGAAAATCTTAAGAAAGATCTTTAAATTTTTAAAATATATTTCTCTAGGTGTTATGCTCAAATGGCATCATCAATTGAAAGATGTACTTCTCATTCAAGATCGTTTAATGAGTATAAATGAGCAATCAATTGGTATTCATGAAGAAATAAATTTTTGGCAAGAATGTCTTACAGATCTTCATCATATTCGAAAACAATTACAAAGAACTGAATTACAAAATATAATTCAAGTATTAATCTTGTCCAAATCTGCTTATATTCAACAATTTTTACAAGCTGAAAAAGAAGTTCAAGTAAAAGAATATTTTATTTATGTAATAATATTTTAATTTATAAATAAACTTAGGAATTTATCGAATATGTAGAAGATTGTTTAAAATTTTTAAAAATTTTGGCTGAACCTTCTTTTCAACTCAATGATATATCATTAGAAAAATTAAAAGCAGTGATTATCAATATTTTCTATCGAATTTTAATTACTTGGCATCATTCTAAATTCTTTACAACTTCGGAAAGGATTAAATTAGTTATTAGCAAGGTTTGTTTTTATCTACGATTTATTAAAGAAGATTTTCCGTTTCATTCATTTGAATGTTGAATATATTCAAGGATAAAACTGAAGACTTATAGAAGAGCACATAGATTAGTCATAGCCTGTATCTGAGCACTTTTAGGCAAGAAAAAAACATGATTATGTTTCATTTGACTTCGATTATTTTTACAAAAGTTATTTTTCTAAATAAGCTCTCTCACTTTGAATAAAAAGGTGGGTGACAGCTTTCAGTTCTTGTCACACGAAATGCATCGCTTGAGCACGGATAAAATGAGATGTTTAGTTATATTAGCTCATATAAAAAGCATCGGATTATCATAAACAGCTCCATTCCTTAATTGGGCCTTGTTACATGTCTATGAATATATGTAAAAATATTGACTCTTCAATGTCACACCAAGTTAAAATTGATTAGTGAAAAAGACTTCTAGCCGTATGACAGAAAAGTTCTTCAAGAATAAACTGCGCACTACAAATGGCATCTATTATGAAATCATCAGCACGATCTAACTCCAAAAAAGTGCTTTTTAAAAACCGGTTTTCCACAGATTTCGTCATATATCGAAACAAAGAATTTGGTTTTGTCATAAACTTAAAATTTCCGAGAAGTTACAAGTGCATTTTTGCGTTGTTGTATTCATACGCGATTATATCGTTAGTTTAGATAGAATTCATGCAGCGAAAACTTCCCTTATGTTTTGTGTCACATCGCTAACGCTTGCTTTTCGAATGATAATTCATCTGAACAAAAGTTTCTAGGATTAAGTTTTTCAAAATGTGTTTTGATACTTAGAAACTAGCTTAGAATTAAGAGACACGCATTTATATTCTGTGCAGTGATGTCGCTAACATATCAACTTTTCCGTTTGCAGGATCTTTAAAAGCATTGATTCTGTTACATTAATACTTCCCATTGACTGGTATTTCTGTTCGTACTTACATACCTTTCGAGTGACATGGTATAATCCATATGACTTTTAACTCTAGCAATTAGATTAGTAAGTATTACTCTTCTTGACTCATCCATGGTAGATTTGAACAAATATTTAGAAAGTGCTATAATATTAGTTTATTATAAAAACGAACAAAAACATATATTTTAATAAAATAACTATGTCTGAAAGATTATATCAGGACTATTGAATGTGATGTGCCTTTATAGATAAACAATCAAATCATCGGTCGATGTTCTCGTTCGATTAGTATTAAACGTCTTTTTCAAGGCTATGTTCTTTCAACACAAAATATTCTTCAAGAATGTTTTCAAATAATTGATCTTTATATGGAAATATGTTTAGATGTAATTCTTTATTAAATTTTTAGTTTTTTTTTCTAATTTCTTTAATTCTATTATTTTCACAAATCATAGATCTTAACTATGCATGACAAACATTCGAATAAGCCATTAATGACAAATAATTTTCAAAAAGATGTTCTTTTTTATTCAATTCAATTATTTCGACAACGTCTGAATGAAATTGATGAGGTGTTTTATTTTTATTTTTTTTCAATTTTTGATAAATGCACAAAATATTTTTAGATTTGTGAATGTATGAAACTTTTTGGATGGTATCGAGATAATAAAAAAGAAAGTTTACCACTCTTTGCTGGTATTCAAGGTGATGAACATCAACATACACTCGAAAATAGTCAACAAGCATTCGATCGAGCATTAATTCTTTTAAAACGTTATTCGAAATATATGCTTGATATTTCTACTCATGCTCATTCTATATGGTCTCGAGAATTGAAACGGTAACTTTATATAAGAAAGGTCGATTTAAATACTACTAATTAAATATAGAAAAGATGGAGAATCTCGTCATTTCAGAAGCACACCTAAAGCCTACAGAGCCATGACAATCGATAATAGCACATTAAAAACTAGCAAAAGACCCATTTCACTGCCATACTCATTATTAAAACATCCAAAACTAATATAAGTACTGGTGATAAGTAGAGTTAGGACGAAAACATTTGTACTTATCCTTTTATTTGAAATGCAAAATAATGTTTTGTTAAGTATTTGAAGTATCATTCTGTTTTATTGAAACTTTAGCAATTATCAGGGGTGTCCTGAAGGCGCCAGAATTTGGGAGAGGGACTATTTTTCTCGGTATTAATTGAGCAAAAACTAATACTAAAACATTGAAACTCCATTAGAGGAAAAACCAATACCTCTCAAGATTGATGCGGGGAGAGGGGTCACGTCTTCACTCAGGACTACTATGGCAATTACACATCATACTAGGCGATTATTATAAATTCCAATTTCTAACGACGTTTGAACCGTAAACTGTTATGCATGTCTCTTGTCAAAATTTATGGTTGTCTTTAATACATATCCCATTTTAAAGTATTTCAGTTCCTTAATTTATATTCTTATCTAAAAGCCAGGCTGTAATAGCGGCTAGATGTTTGAAAGCATAAATATGGTATCATAGTAGCCAGATTTTGTAACCAAAACTTCTTTCATACCTGAAGTAAAATTAGTAAGTCCTTTTTTTCGTACACCAGTAATAAGACAAGTTAAAGTATAAGTATAATACTTCTACTTGCGGTAGTTCTACTTATTTTACTTCTATCGATAACATTGGTTCTCTTTTGTCGGAGAATAAGCGAAGACGAAATACAAGAAGTAAAAGGAGCCTAGCTGCATATAAAAATTACGAAAAACATGGCTAAGTGGAAGATTTTTCAATATGAAAATTCAGGAATTTCAGTATTCTGTGTTTATGAAAAATATTTACTTTAGATTTTTGGAATCTGTCCATGAAATTGAATTAATTATCGTTAAATTAATCAATGAAGCAATGATAAAAGCAATAACTATAGAACAAATAATTGATATTCTAGAAATCTTTGTTAATTTTCAATCACGAACTGTATGATTTTTGCTATACTCATTAATTTTTTTAAATTTTATTGTTTGTTAGACTATCAATCATATTCTTATTGATAAAACTCGTGATATTTATCGTCTATTTCTTTCTCAAATCGAAGATACTCATGCTCAAATCGCTTCTCATCAAACATTAGATGATATAAAAAATGCTAGAATTTTTTTCGATTTATTTCTTCCACGTTATCCAGCTAAAGCCATGTGGATTCATAATTTAATTGAACGTATTACAAAAAATTATCGTCTTATTAATGAATCATCCAATTTACCATATGTTATACAAAAAAATGAAATAAAATTAGCTTATGATAAATTATTAATATTTGCTGATAATATAGAAAAACGTATCTATCAAGAATGGTGGACAATATCAAGTGAATTACAACCAAAAAAATTATTATTAAAACCATTTTTAAAAGAAAATAATGAAAAAAAATATTTAATTGATGTTTATTTTGATCCACATATAATTATTGCATTAAATGAAAGTTTATGGTGGATTAGATTACATTATGAAATACCGTATTCATTAACTGATGTTTATAATACAAGAAAATCATTTCGACAAATGAGAGAAGAAACAAATGGATTTATTCGAAAATTTGATAAGTGAAAAATGAAAAAATAAAAACAAAAAATAAGATTTTGAATGAACTATTGTAGAGCGATTGATTCTCTTAATGATCAAGAAATATGTTTATTTGAAGAACGTATTCGAATGGTTTTAAAAAAATTACAGCCAGGTTTTCTTGGTAAAGTAAATTATATCGAAGAACATACATTTCATGATTTTGCTATTGAAGCAAATCGTATTATTGATCAGGTAAAATAAATTTCAAATATTTATTTAAATATAAATATTTCATTTTATTCATTAGTTAATTGATATGGTTACATCATTCAAAGAAAATTATGTTAAATGTTGTGCTAAATGTGTTACGATTAGTCAACAATTATTTATTAAAATTGATTCTGGTATTATTTTTAATTATACAACATTTTCTGATTTACTTGTATGTTTTACTATTGAATGAATATTTATGTATTTCTTTTTGTTTCAATCTAGAAATCGATTAATCGTGTAAGTCAAGATCTTATTAATGAAATGTATGAAGAAATTACAGTTGGAATTCGTATTCAACAGATGATATTCAAAGATGATTCAGATAAAGTAATGTACCTTTTTGTGAAAATGTCGTGCAAAGACTAATAACATTTAATCGAACATGAGAATCTTTTTCGATCATTAAAATCAGTTGAGTATAGATTTCTCATAGATAAATCCTTGATTATTCATTTTGGAAACGCTCAGACTCGAGTGCATTGACCAAAAACGGTAGGCATTGGTTGTGACAAAAATGCACGTTGTCTCTACTTCTATGGCCATGAGCGAAGTTTTAATGCTGATAACCACAGTAGCTAAGACTTCTGGTTTGTTTAATCACTGAGCAACCAATGATACATAAGTATCCGCACAAATGTCGAAGACAAAGTTTTTTGCTCACAGATAGAGTAAGATATGTACTTTAAAATGCATGCCTACAATAAAATTTGGAGTGTGGATGTGCATCGATGCATGAGTGGAACACCAGCACCTACACCCACACCCACACCCTAACTCGTTCTGTTCAAAAGTTGTAAGACTTTTCATGAAACTTCCAATTTCTGCCGATCGATTTGTAATCACTTGGAGAAGCAGTTAGAGAGAGGTAATTCACTATGATAAGTTGATTGATAATATTTCTTTTTGGTTTAAAATGATCTAACTCTATTTTCTCAATATTTCTGAACTTGTGCAATCAGCCTCCATGTAACAGAGAAGTCGGCATTCCATAAATATTGAGATAATAGTGTAGATCAGTTTGAACTTAAAGACGAATATCACTATATTCTACTCATCATGGTGAATTAATCCAATCTAGCTGCTTTTTCGGGTGATCATAAGTCATTTGATTGAAGCCAGAGATCCCTATAAAAAATCTAAATCAAAAGAGAAATAGCTTTAAAATGTCGTTTTTGAAATCTTTCTTGAATGATGGAAGTCGTAGGTTTTTATCTTATTCTTATCAAAATTTATTTAAAAAAATGGCAATACGACTTTCGTTTTGAATCGAGTAATAGACAAGCTTCATCTTTTCCTCCTGTTTTTTACATCTTCTATGATATACAGATTCTTCAATGTTGGGATCATTGGTTAAGTTCAATTGATTGTATGTTTGAAAAAGCTCTTCTCATTAATATAACCAATTCGCTCGAACAACTATCCTATATAATCAATGGTGATATTCAAACAAAACCAACACCATTTCTTAATATTGAACTTTGTTTAAATACAGTCGAAACAACAACTGGAAGTATCAAATACGTGGTAAGTTCTTCATCATATTAACCCATCGATAATTAAAATCATTTAGTTGGATTTTCGACCATCACTTGAACAATTATCTGAAACTTTAAGTTCAGTCAGCAAAATTCAATTAACTGAATCCATTAAAAATTTCGTACGTTTATGTGATCTATTTTCTTATCATTCGTTTCAAAGAGAAGTAATTCAATTAGAAATATATAGTTTTTTGTTTTTGTTTATGATAAATCTTTGATATTCTAGTCTTATTATATTGTGATTGATAATTATCCATTAAAACAAAAGTTAGAAAATAAAATTGCTTTAGGTATAACAAATTGTATATCAGAAATAGAAAAATATATCGAAAATAATTGGTTTCATTTTCGTCAATTATGGGAAGTTGATAAAGAAAGTTTTATAGCTGTTTATGAATCTGAAAATACTGATTTACAAGGTTTAGAAGCTGATATAGCTCGGTAAATCATTGTTTTTAACTTTTAAGAAAATAAAAATGATTTTATGTTTTATTTTAAATAATAGTTATACAGAATTAGCTAATAATATAAATAATCAAGATACCATTGTTAATATACATATGATACAAATCGATTGTACATCATTTAAAGTATCATTAGTACAAATTTGTCATGAATGGCAACAAAGTTTAATACGCATTGTATTAATTCGATTAGAGAAAGATCTTCAGATGATATCGACATTAATTAAAAATAATACAGAAAAGTAAGTCAAATCAATGAGAAATATTTTCCATCTAATATTGAATTTTTATTAATGACGAAATATTCGATTTGTTAAACATTGTTGGTGAAAAGTAACAGGCAATTAAAAGATCATTGTCAGGATTGTCTAAAAAATTTGTCGGAAGTAATAGTCGCAGAATACAAGTAATCGGTAAAAGGTATTTCGTATCTTGGCAGCGCCTATCAGGCTTACACTCAAAATTTTCGTTGAAATTAAAAGACCAATTCGAGTTCAGGCACAAAGTTTCGGACATGACGAGTCCTATTATTAGACAATCCTGTTGGATTAAAATTTGATAAAAAACAATAAAATGATTTTTTACTCTTTGATGTGTTGTTCAAGCATAATGGAAGCATTAACCAAAAAGAAAGAAATAGATGAGGTCTCGTACAATCATCCGTACCTTAAAAAGATCTATTTGTCACTGAATACTTTAATAAATATAATATAATTTTTTTTATCTCAATCTATCGCAGATGCTATCATTTGTAGAATTAAGGTTCTCCATTCTCATACCATGACGTTTAAGGGACATATTCATCAAACAAGGGCCAAAAATAGCTCATTCGGCAATCGAAAAAATTTTGTAGATCCTCATTCTACATATTTACCTTTTCTTATTTGAAAAAGCATGTCAGATTGTAGTATCTGATAGAGTCTTTTTGCTTAAAAAAACAACATTTTTCGCGCAAAGATTGACGGAATCTATTGAAAACTTTTAGAAAAAAACTATGTGCCAAAATAAAAAAAAAAAATCATATCGTTTATCAAAAAGATTCATCTAGAAGTCGAAACGTCGCAGATCAAGTAGTCAACCAAAGAAAAACTAATTTAGGTTCAACAACTGGTAGTAATATTTTATTTCTTCATTCGGTAGAGAATAACAAAATAAAAAATTGATTGATCTCGAGTTATATCGTATTTGTGTTCCTATGTCTATTTTTTTAATATCTAGTCAAATAAATCATATGATCAAAAGATACAAACGTCTCATAAAGACGCGACAGAGCACGAAGAAAAAAAATAAAGTCAGGACAGAGCGGGAAACAAACTATTCTTTCTGTTTGTGATCTCTGGATTCGAACTCACGCTATCCTCCTATGTATTTATTTTTTTAACATTCGATTAGAGTAAATATTCTTCCGAAAACTTATGCTGAAATTCCAATCTATCAAGAATTTATCGATGAACTTAAAGCAGATGTATTAAGAATTGAAGCTAAATTACCTTTAATTAATGAAGAAGTTGCTTTATTACTTCGATATGAAATTGAAATTGATCCTAAAGTTCGTTATTCTCCTGATTTTTTAAATAAATCGAATTCAAACTTTTGTTTTTGTTTTTTGAAAGCTTTTAGAACAACATCGTTTATTATCTCGTCTTTGGGATAATTATAAAACATTCCTTGACGAATCAATAGCTTCTTTTAAACGTGTCAAAGTAACTTGAACTTAATTATTATTTTAGGTTGTTTTTGTTTGTTTTGACTTTCAGGAAGCTTTTAAAATTCAATTACAAAAAGAACAAGAAAAAAATCTCAATGAAATACTTGAATTACAAAAATATTTTAAAATTACTGGTCCACATCAAGCAGATATATCTGTATCAATGGCTTTAAATAAATGTGAACAAATCGAAGAACAAATTGAACAAATGGAAAATGATGAAAAACGTTTGAAAATTGCTTATCGTATATTTAATTTAGATATGATTGTTTCTAAAGAATTACAAAATTTAAAAAAGGTTTTTATTTTTATTTTATTTTTTTGAACATAAATAAAAATTAATAAACTTTATAAATTGAAAAACAAATAATTTAGGATATTGATATACTTAAATCAATTTGGTTATTAGCTAAAGAATATGAAGAAATGCTAAATAAATGGAAAACAACAGAATTCTATCAATTAAATATTAATGAATTAAATGATTTTGCTCAAAATCAATATAAAAAATTACTTAAAATGTCAAGAGAATATAAAGTAAAGAGAAGCAAATTGCAAATATTTGGTACAATCGATGTTATAGTTGTATTTAAATAATAACTTTTTCCGTTAATCGATTCGAACTAATTTTTTATATGTTCTTGATCTCTGAACATTTCACCTATACAGCAAATTTCAGCTCTCTAACTTCTACCGTCGTCTATGTTTGAGGCTTATGTTGTGAGAAAATCACATTTTGTTGAAAGATCAACTTAAAAAAGAAAACTTTCTGCGAATCGAAGGATACCAAAAAGAAAATATCGAATAGGCCGTATTGTAGAGTTTAAAATATTCTGTCGAGTAATACACATTCACCATGTCTCTCATTCTCTCTCCATGCCTATTTGTCAAAAATACTGCATGACAGACACTTCGTTTTCGGATAGAAAAACATTATTTTTCAATGTTCTTCATCGACGCATATATTGAAGAAAAACGAAGTCGTTGAAAAGAAAGGCTTTTTATTGGAAAATAAAAGTACTAAAAAAGTTACTTTTGAATGACTTTTCTATTTGATCATATAGTATTTTGACTAGAAACTTTCAAAGTTTTCCTAGTGAGAGTGAGTCAAAACTGAATAGTATTTTATACAACTGAATCTGCTTCATTGTGGAAAGTCATTCTATTTTTATACCCGACCATAGATTCTGAATTAAAAAGTATTTTTACTGCATAGAGTTTAAATGGGCTGTTATGATCTGTAGCAAGATACTTTTTATGCGATATTTTAAGTAATAGTGATCCAAGATAGATTGTGTTTTATATCATTGAACTTGTTTCATTTCGGAATGTGACTTTACTTTCATTGTAAATGTCGATTCTGGATTAATAGGCGATTTTATAATTAAATAAAGTTTCTTTTGATACTTTTACATTGAAATCATATCTCAGCGAATATGCAGTAAACTTTTACTGTGTAACATAGATATGGAGCATAATAAAATCTATTTTCAATTTTCCGCGTCAATCATACCAAAAAGTTGCAATTTACTCTTACGAATTTTATTTAAAATAAAAAAAAATTATTTAGGAAAAAGATTGGAAAATTCTTGATTCACTTCGTGATCGTATTGATACATTTCGTCGTATATTACCTTTAATTGAATCATTACATAATCCACATATGCGTTCTCGTCACTGGGAACAAATAAAATATGAAACAGAAAAAATTTTTGAATATAAATCAAATAAATTCACACTGGAACAAATTCTTGATTTACATTTGTAATTACTGATTAAAAACTATTATTAGTTATATAATTTTTTTTTCTTTGTCATTTAGTGAAGAAAATATTCAATTGATTACTGAAATATCAGAAAATGCATCAAAAGAATATTCAATCGAACGAATATTAGAAAGAATTGTTCAAATATGGAATGATATGAATTTCCAAACAACAATACATAAATCGAATGTTTTTAAAATAAAGTATGATAAGTTAATTTTAAAATCAAATAATGTTATAAATAAATGCAACAGTTTAACCTTTTGAAAAAGTTGGTTGAGATGTTCATGGAAGATAGAACTTTGCAATAGACTATGTCTAACGAGGTAACCTTGCAAGGTTATAAAAGTCTGTTAAATTCAAACTTCTATCGTTAAATAGAGTCTACAGAGAGTAAACAAAATCTATAATGGTTCGTTTTCTAACTGGTTTTCTCTCGACTTATGACAATTTTTACTAAGTTTCTGACCTAGTGCACAGTGCATATCATGAAAAATTCAATGTCGTCATTTCGATCTTAATTTTTCCAATGAAGAAGTCTTATTATCCCTATCAAATATCGAAAGTTTCACCTAGAACGAATATTTTATTTTCAGGGCAGTAGATTTAAAAAAACGGATTTTATCGAATCTGTTCTAGAATATGCGCTTTGGTGAAGGATCTGATATCTTAAGATTGAAACATTCATTCTAGATCAAACTTTTGATGTATGAGAGGCATCATAAGATCTGTTTGTGGTCAAAATTTCCTAATTTCAAAAGCTTTTTATCACCGTGAGAAATATCCTTCTAAGATGATTTTCATGAACTGATCATAACGAAATTTAAGGTCAATGATTTCATTGATTTTTTGGTAATATTTTAATTATATTAAATGTGGAACTACATATTTCTCGAAAGCGTTTGAATCTCAACTACATGCTACCGAAACTGAATATCTGAAAACTGTATATTGATGACTCTCGTATATAGAATCAAATTACTCAAAAAGAAGTACAGAAAACTCATTGATTTGAATTAAACATGTTTAAAATCAAATCTTAAAATGTGTTGTTGTAAATATGTGTTTAAAAGTCAGATAAAAGTTGAATGAACAAACAATGCAGATACTTATCTAAATCTAATCTACTCTACAAATTGAATATTAGAATTTTATCTCAGCCGAAAAACTGCATTAATATATAATGAAAAGAAAATGTTTATTATCTATCAGTTAACAGGCGTTCGATTCTCTTAATACAAATTTCAACTATCATCTTTTACAAGAATATTATTAAGCTTCTAGAGAATGCATTCCAATTGCAGAAGAGCATTGTTCTCTCGATCATTATACTGAATAGAGTGCTCTGAAACGATTGTTGAAGTATAGGAGTAGAAATCTAGACCATCTTCCTCGCAGATACGAAAGACATCTAAGCAACAGGCTGTTTTTTTTTGTTACAGATTGTGACAAAAATCTTAATATTGCCGCTCCCTTCTAGTTGACCACGATAGGTATACTCGCAAGAGACCAAACTCTATTGTAAAATAAATATGAAGTACAGATGAGTTTCAATCACTATAATATATAACGATTATCATCTTTCATCATCGACACGCATTAATAGTAGATAGGAATTAGCAAATCGAAATCTATATTGATGAATGACTTTTTGCGTAATGTCAACAGTTCTATCACACGTCATATTCTAATTTTGCATGAATTGTACTAACAGTTTGTTTTTTGCTTTTTATTTCATCAATAGAGCTCCTGATGAGATTATTCAATATGTTGAAGAACATACAGCTCAAATATCAACAATAAAAGGCACACGTCATGTGAAACCATTTCAAACAGAAGTTGATTATTGGGAAAAATCAATAGCACAAATATCCGAATTATGTGATGGTTTATTTAATGTTCAGCGACAATGGTTATATATGGAAGGGATATTTACTTCTGATGATGTTCAACGACAATTATCACGTGAAACAACTGAATTTAAATATATTAATATGATTTGGCAAGATGAAATTATAGCTAAAATTCGTGAAAATTCCAATGCTTTATATGTTGCAACAAAATTGAGTTTGTAACACAACTATAAAAAAAAAATCCTATAAATAAAGTTGTATTTTCATTTAGATTTATTTGATAAAATACAAAGTTTATTAAAATATTTAGAAAATATTCAAAAGAAAATGGAAGATTATTTGGAAACAAAACGTGCAATATTTCCACGTTTTTATTTTATATCAAATGAAGAATTAGTTGAAATTCTTAGTCTTTCACGTCAACCGGATCTTATTCAAATACATTTAAAAAAACTTTTTGATAATATTAAACATTTACGTTTATTAATTAAAAAAACAATTCTAGCTAATGGAATTCAATCAAATGAAGATGAACAAATTAATTTAATATCAACATTATCTTTAGAAGGTAATGTTGAAAATTGGCTTAAAGATTTAGAAATAAAAATGCAAATTACTGTACGTGAATATTTAAAAAATTCTTTATCAGCACTTAAATTACAATTAAAAAAACGTGATAAATGGATTAAAGATTGGCCTAGTCAATGTTGTGTAACTGCGAGTGAAATTGAATGGACATCAGCAACAACAAAAGCTTTAATGATATGTCAAGCTGATGGAAGTTTAAAACCATTAAAAAAATTATTTCATTCTCAAGTAAGTATCACTAGGTATTTTACAAATAAATCTATTGATTTTTCAAAGAGACAAGTAAAACTAGATTAAACTTAGCGTAATGATTGTAGGATTAAGTTGAAGATCAATATTGAATATGAAGATAGTCTTCTGATAATAATTAGTTTTGATAATTTTTTGCTGAGTTGAATAGCAATGATCCCTGACTTTATTGAAATCATAGACATAAAACTNTTTTTGCAACCAGGAATGTTCTATAAATAGGAATGAAAAAATTCAATGCCACCTTCATTTCTACTTCATTTTTTTTTCCACAAGTGAGTTATATAGAGAGAAAGCCATATTATTGTTTTTATCAGTTGTTACATGATAATGTTTCGTAGATTTTTCGCAAGAGTAAAATAAATTTTCTCGAAAAACATTCCCAAATTCAAATAGAAAATATTTAGCAATTAGCCTTCGCAGTGGATAATTGTATATTTACGGAATTTCTGCATTCATTACTAGCTTTGTTCGAATGGTGAATACAGCAAGTCTTCGTTATCTTCCTGTGTAAGACATTTTTACAGAATGTTGTTTAGGATGTAAATGTTTAAGATAAATATTTTACCTCTAGCTCTGTTCGTCCCTGTGCTTTTATAGTGTACCTCTACAGCCTGAGCACCTTGCGTATATCCTTGTAAGAGCAATCGTCTGTTTCGCTAGGTATCACTGGATTCCGGAAAATAGGCTCTTGTGGATCTCTTCTTCCATTACAACTCACACCCAAATGCGCAAATACTTGCCTATCTACATAATGACTTCAGACAGCACCCTTAGATCCGTTCATACTAGCATTGCAACATTGTCTGAAGACTAATATGCACTAATATCGTAAGTGCTGACCATATCTTTGGTAGTATAGAAGTACTGGAATAGCAGTTTTTATGAAAGAACATCAAAAGAGAGTATTTTAGTCAAGGGGAAAACAGCTGATTCCATAGCATTAGAATCACATGGAATCACATGCAATCACCTAGAATCATTTGGAATCATTAGAATCACTCGGAATCAGTTAATGGAATCAGGCAATGAAATCACTCAAGATCATACGAAATTATATCGAATCACTCAGAACAATTACGTACGACCGAAACCAGTCATCAACAGTAATTTTATTTGCTCCTCAATTGTTAGTAGTCAAAGGTTTCCGTAAGCAGAAACTATTGATTGCAATTATATTCAAAGGAATAAATGTGGAGACTTCGGATTTAAATCCGAGAGTTATGTGTACTTCAAAAAGTGAATCATACCAATCAGTCATCTCAGAATGTGTAAACATCAAAATTATACTGGGGAACCTACCATTTAAAATGTTGATTTCTATTGCGTATTGCCAAACCAATAGGACTTGGGACCGAATACAGCTCAAATTTGAACTCTTCCCTTGATTTACCCTAAGAAAGTCGTTTTTCCTATAACTTGATTTCTATTGGTCATTGCTCAACCAATAGTATTGCGATGGAAGTGGAGCACAGATTCGAGTTCTTCACCTTAGAAAACCTCGAAGCATCATCACTGTGATCGGAAGATAGAGCTTTAAACGTGGATCAATTAGATCTGAACAAAAATATAACCTAGTTCTCTTTAATTATCTTTGTGATAGGTGAGTCAACCTTCTTGTTTCTTTATGTTTTATATACCATTTTGCAGCTCTTGAAATTTTCTATCGAATGGTATATAATAGTTGGGGTTTTAGTTGACTATGATAGGAAAAGTCTTTTACGAAAGTGGGGATGAGTCGATCTTTCCATAGGGAAGATATAGGAAAAAATGAGTATTTTTGCAATAACTCAGGAATGGCTCGGCCAATGCTTCTCATCTTCGACCTCGACAGAAATATTGTTAAGACTGAACTGTGTAGAAAATTTCATCGCGATCTGACTCTCCTTTCGAAAGTTATCGAGTAAACGGACGGACGGACGGACAGACTGACCGATTCTAGAGTGTACTCACTTTTTGACTACACAAAAAGGAAAAATAATGTTCTCTATAAGGAAGCGCCCTGGGATCTTCACGTCCTACTTCAGGGAGTACCTTTGAGTCCTCAAGTGCTATATTATAGTGGTACCCGTGGATCTTTATCTTCCGTATTAGCATGGTATCCTTCGGTTCTCACATGGGCGGCGGACCAGTAAGCAATGATAAGACTACAACATGTTTAACTGCTTCTTACGCTTATAATTTCATCAAGAAGGAATAGCTGTTAAACTGGTAGATAATCTTTCGTATGAGAATGTCAACTCGAAAACTCAATAATTGGTGATTGGTAGATAATTACAAGAAACCTTGAGTTTTGCTAACTCGTTCTAAATGCACCTGCTCTCAATAAATAGCGTTACTACCCTCACAGTCTTAATATGCTGTGAAATGAATCAATATGCAGGTCTTCAATGCTCTGCCTTTGAGAAATTAAGGAAAAGCACGTTTACTGTCGAGCGGTGAAGCGCAGCTTCGATAGAGTCTCATTCTGAAATTTATTGCTTCCCCTAAAAAACTGAGCTTGCGCCGTCCATAGGTCCTCATATCCTATATTGGTGTAGTAGTCGTGGGTCCTCGAGTCCTACTTGAGGGTAGTACCCTTGGAATCTCAAGTCCTATAAAAGAAGGATCCTCTTGGGTCCTCAAGTACCGTGTTAGAGTGATACCCTTAGGTACTTAATTCCTACATTAGGATAGTATCCTTGGATTGTCAATAGGGATTTTGATTGATTTTTGTTGTGGGACTCACCTGTTTGACGAAAGAAAAGAGTGAGTGTAAGTTTAAGTCGAGGATTTTCCGACTCCTCCTTCTCCAAGTCCATTACAATGTCCCATTAAAGACCATAGTAATGGAGATGCAAGGTAAAAGGATTAATAGGCACATTTCCATAACGGGTTGGTGAATTTCCAGCACTAGAAATTTCAGCACAGGAAAATTAAGCACTAAGAATAATCAGCACGAGCATGTTCAGCACCAAGAAAAATCAGTATTAGTTTTGAAGTCTATTACAATGAAGACCTTACAATCGTAATATAATCTAATACAAAATTAGATTCTAAAACGTAATTGGTAGTCTTCACTTGACTCAATTATTTCTTATTAATGCAAAAAAGAAATGTCTATCACTTGCACAATTCATAACAGAACACTTTTGTTCCTAAAATACATCTATTTTCTCATATGGTACCAATGTTTCGTAATGAAACAACAAGACAAAAACTACAGTTTAGGGTGTGGATTTCACTGAAGAAAAGAGCTACAACCACACCCACACCCAGAGCAGGATTACCAAATTGAAATTTTAAGAATCAGGAGTTTTCTTATCCAAAAGCAGGAGTTTATCAGGAGAATATTTTTTATAAATCAGGAGAAAAATCAGGAGGTTTTCTATTTGAAGTTAAGAGAATGTTAGGTGATTGTCTCGTAGAGAAGGGTGGGTGTGGGTGTGGGCGTGGTTGTGAATGATCAGAAGACAGCATCCACACACCTACACGCACACCCCACACCCACAATCACACCCACACCCTCAAGATAGAGGAGAGAGTGATACGTCTTTTTCTCTGACAATGTGTAAGACGAAATGATTTTGAATACGAATATTCATGCAAATTTTTCTCGAGAGGGGGTATGGAAAGGATATGCCAATACAATAAATTTTTGAATTTGATATTTCATCTAGATAGAGATACTTCAGGTCTATAGTTCAAGATATCTTACTTTTCATTACAGTTCTATCGAAAAATTAAACTATTATGATAGAAAGTGCGAAAACTAAATAAAAAATCATCAAAATTCCCTATATTTTGTGCATGTAACTACATGATTCTGTTTACTTAATGTTAGAATGCAATAAGAGAACTATGTGAATTTTATCTTAAACTGTAGATCTGAAGTATCTCTATCGAAACCAAAGATCCAAACCAGATATCGATTTGTGTGGCATTGCATATCCGTGTCTCTTCAGTAGAAATTTGCATGAATGCCAATATTCAAAATCATTTCGTCTTATATATTGTCGGAGAAAAAGGTGTTCCACTGTGTCCTCTATCAGTTGGTGAAAACCACAGGTCGGTAACTCTTGCCATGGTTCAGTTATTCAATTTACACCAAACTCTCTTTAATTCTAGCGCGGACAATAGTGATTAATTTGTTTAGTATTAAAAAGTTAAAAAGTTCATCGAAAAATCTTAATACATATAAAAAGCATTGTATTCCAAAAATTTTATGAGAACATTTTATAATGGCTAAAGCAATTGGTATTGATTTGGGTACAGCATATTCGTGTGTTGCTGTATTTCAACATGGAAAAGTTGAAATCATTCCTAATGAACTAGAAAACCGAATAACACCATCATATGTTGCATTCACTGATAATGAACGTTTAATTGGTGATCTTGCTAAAAGTCAAGCAGCTCGAAATCCAAACAATACACTATTTAGTGTCAAACGACTTATTGGTCGTAAATATGACGATCCAACTGTACACGCTGATATGAAATATTGGCCATTTAAAATACTTAATGATAACGGTAAACCAAAAGTTGTAGTTCAATATAGAGATCGAATGATACTATTTACACCTGAGGAAATATGTTCAATGGTATTGGCAAAAATGAAGCAAATAGCAGAAGCTTATTGTAATGAAAAAATTTCCAATGCTATTATTACTATTCCAGCTTATTTTAATTATTCACAACGTCAGGTAATAAAAGATGCTGCTACTATCGCTGGTCTTAATGTATGGCGTATTATTAATGCATCAACAGCTGCTGCTCTGGCTTATGGTTTCGATAAAAATGTCCCTGCCGAACGAAATGTATTAGTTTTTGATTTGGGTGCTGGTACTCTTAATGTATCAGTTTTAAAAATTGAACAAGGAATCTTTGAAGTTAAATCAACATCTGGTGATATACATTTAGGTGGTGAAGATTTTGATAATCGAATGGTTGCATATTTTGTTCAAGAATTCAAAAGTAAATATGGTAAAGATTTATCAGAGAACAAACGTGCTCTTCGACGATTACGTATTGCTTGTGAATCAGCTAAAGTAAATTCATTTTATTTTATCTTCACTCCAGGGGTGCCATTTTTCATTTTTTAAATGGGGTTTATAAAAGTCAAAATGGGGTACATTACAATTTAAAAAGGGGTACATCAATGGGGTAAATGATTTTACTCCTGAAGTAAAGTATTTACTTGAGAAATCTGCTGAATCAACACTGCTTTTGTAGAGAACAGAATCATATTTCACTGGTTTTTTTCCAATTAGATAGGCTTAGCTGTTTACATTCTTTCAATTAGCTTTGTGTTAATTGATTGTTGAGTTTGAAATTGGAAAATAACATTATAAATAGAGAACGAAGATTACCATCAAATTCATTAAAGAGAAAAGCTGCAATTAGAGGTATATCTAATAGAATATGTATGTGCAAAAGAAAAAAGAAAAATTAATGAAACACGGAGGAATCAGATACAGAAGAAATGTTTAACTCTTATTTCGGTGTTTATAACGATAATAGTATCAACAATCAAGTACTTCAATCCGACACTGAACAAAACAGATGTAGAAATCCATCAGTCATTTATTAACTGCTACTTCTATAGATAAATAGAAGTGAAAAGACTAGTGGGGAAAGACACTTTACATTGATATTGAGTTTTATCACATGCCAGATTTAAAAATTGAAATGGGGTACAAAATATGTACCTCTGGGGTACGATTTTTTCTGGAGTACAAAATGTCGAAATGGGGTATTGTACCCCAAAATGGAGTACGGTTGGTAGCCCTGCTTCACTCAATACGTTTTCTTATTTTTTAGCTTACTTTATCATTATTATCTCAAGCACCGATTGAAATTGATTCATTACATGATGGTATCGATTTTCATTCAATAATAACTCGTACTCGGTTTGAAGAAATTTGTGATGATCTATTTCAATCAACACTTGAACCAGTTGAAAAGGCTTTACGTGATGCTAAAATGGATAAATCGTCAATCGACGAAATTGTTCTTGTTGGTGGTTCAACGCGTATTCCAAAAATACAAAAACTTCTACAAGATCTCTTTAATGATAAAGAACTAAATAAATCTATTAATGCAGATGAAGCTGCTGCTTATGGTGCAGCTATTCTGGCAGCTATTTTCACTGGCGATAAATCAGATGCAGTTAAAGATATGCTTTTACTTGATGTTGTACCATTCACATTAGTAAGTCGAATGAATTCAAAGGGTTCTTCTATAATTTTTTTTCTTTGTGACGGGTATTGAAATACCTGGTGGCGTTATGACAGCAATGGTTAAACGTAATACAACCATTCCAACACAACATACAAGAACCTTTACAACTTATAACGACAATCAATCTAATTTCGAAGTAAAAATATATGAAGGAGAACGTTCAATGACTAGTGATAATAATTTACTTGGTAGCTTTGAACTTTCTGGTATTTCACCAGCACCTCATGGTGTGCCACAGATTGATGTTATATTCAATATTGATGCAATGGGTATATTAAATGTATCGGCTGTGGATAAATCTTCCAGAAGGGAAAACAAAACTACAGTTACAAATGATCATGCACGATTATCTCAAGATGAAATTGGACATATGATTCGTGATGCTGAAAGATTTCGAAAAGAAGATGAAATACAACGTAATCGTATTCAAGCTAAGAATTCACTTGAATCATATTGTTTTGATATGAAAACAAAAATTAATGATGGACAATTAAGAGATAAAATTGATGCTAATAATAAAAAGAAGATTATCAATACTATTGAATATACATTAAAATGGATTGAATGTAATCAAGTGAGTTAATTTTTCATTTTACTCTTTCAATTCTAATTAATTTTATTCGATTTTTAAAATATTTTTAGTTTGCAGAAAAAGAAGAGTTTGAGCAGAAATTAAAAGAAGTTGAAGTAATATGTTTATCAGTTATTACTAAATTTTGTGGCGGGATGCCTTGGTGAATCTGTGGATAGATTATATTCGGATGCTAATAGTGCTACTGATCCACTTATTGAAGTAGATTTAGAAAGAATGTTTGATTTTTATTTATTTAATTATGATTTGTTTTTCTATTTTCTTACAGGAAGCCGATTGAAAAATCAAATATTCTTAGTCTTCATATCATTTTTTTTTTATTTCAAATACTATTATTGTGTGTAACGAAAAAATAATACATGATTAAATGGAATTCTCATTAAATATAAAATTAACGAATGTCAATAAATATTTCAATATAAAAATAGACTTTTTTAAGATTTCTTTGCCTGAATCTAAGTACATGTAACACCGAAAGGCTGACTAAAGTGTGAATTGGGTTGGAGGTGTTTCATGAGGTGTACGCATATTCTAGTTATTTAATATTTCTCCATTTAATTTTCATTGATTTATTTCTAGAAATTTGATTTCTTTAAGTAGAATCAGTGATGTATTTTTAAATTTTACTTTTATTATTTCATATTTCATAATTATACTTTTATCTACTATAAATCAAACTTCATTCTTGAAGACTTTAAGAACGATTTCTAGAAGAATCATCTTCATTAATGAAAAACAATGATCAATTTATGAATATTCAATCATTCTACTTTTCTTTCGACTAATCCATTAAGAACAAAATTTGATGATATTGGTAATGATCTGTCATATTCTTCAATGAGATCAATTTTTACTGAACTCTATACAAATCCAATCAATAATAAATAATGACTATTTTATGTGGGTGCAGCATGCCGGCGTAAGGTTTCTCTTGAAGAACACACCTACACCGTATCCATCCACATCAACATCCGATACACCCACTCTCATACTCGCACTCTCCCGCAGGATCCTGTGAGATCTGGTGAACGGAATCTTCGACCTGGGTAGGTAAGATGTGAGTAGAGGTAGATATGTGTTGGGTTCACTATCGTATCAGTAAAAACGATCACATATATGGAATGCCACATACTCTGAACTAGAGTGTGAGTGTGGATGTTGCTACATCTGTACAGTCACACCCACATTCTCAAGCAAGACCTGAAAGCTATAGTTTTAAAATATGAGAATTTTACAAGAAATAAAAGTTGTTTTCGTCTAGAATTTGGTAAAATTTGAGCATAGATTTATTTCAGAACTCCAACGAAAAAGATATTCACTCTTTTTCGACTGTTATGAATTTTATACACATAGATGTCTGTTCATTTGCTTTTTCTAATGGCAAAAAACGAAACTCAATAGCTATAAACGATAGAAAGTTATTTAAAAAATGGTGAAGGCCCTGATACTAATAACAAAATCAAAAACTCGACGTTACAAAATAACACAAAAAGAGAATATTTTTCTTTTATGTTAAAAGATTTTGCTCAATTATCGAAAGTTTAGCACGTACATATCTTCATTCTTGTTTAGCATCTCTTTATGTTGGATTGAATTGACAATTTAACTAAATATGTTGAAAAATTATTATTTTTCAATGGTTTTTTTGTCTATTTCTATTAGGGTAGAGGAAAGGTTACAGAAAATCTAGTAAAACTGCGGCAAATCTAATTCAAGTAACTTTTTCATTTACTACAAATTAAATTTGATTTTCACATAGTTATGTAGATGATTGAAGAGGGATTGTCCTACTCTGACTTGCAACCATTTGTATTTGATATAGTTCAGGTTTGTGATCGAGGAAGTAATCTGAAGGAAACATTGGAGAAATTCACGGTGGTGCATTGCAAAAAAACATTCTATCAAGTCGAAATAAATAAGGCAACAAAATGATATAGCATTTGGTGTTATTATATTAATTTAATTGAAGATGATCAAATTATTGGAAGTAGAAGCAAAGAAGATGATAGCTGTCGTGATGATAAGAAATTACCTGATAAGAGAACCATATCTGTTAGACATACATCTATAACATCAAGTCGAAACGATCCCACCACTATTTTCGTTCAATTACCACCAGATGCAAGACTTCTTTCGGTAACTATTATCTGGTTCAAAGAACTAGTGAAATATAAGAAAAGATAAATTCAATATTAAGATCCTTTTATTACTAACTTAGAGAAATTAGAAAATCTGAACACTCAAAAAGAAGTTCTACCAGATAGAATCTTTAACGGATACTAGACTTTTCGCCTAGAAACTTTTTCTCTGAAATCTTTCGGCACCAAGGTTCTAATTCAAAAGTCTAGACCGTTTAAAAGGTTCATAAAATAACTCGAAGAGCAAGATGCTGCTATTCTGATTCAGAGTGCAATTGCCACATGAGTTTCATTATATAACTCTTCGGAGAGTATCTGAAAATCTTTGAACACATTACTTCAAATATATAATGAAAAAAATTTGAACAAAAAACGAATTAAAATCATCGGTTCATCTACGTTGCATAAAGTAATAGATATTTGAAGAACGTAGTCTCTTGTAATGAAATGTATTCAATCATCACAAGTACCATCAATTTGCATGATAATGTCAAGTATATTTTTAATAAATTCCTCATTGCAAACAAAGTCAAGCGATTATAAACAAGAAAAAGGTCAATTATATCAATTTTCTTCATCTACTTTTTCTAAATAATCATTTTATAGATACCGGTTTTTTTCGTCAACAAGCACAACAAGTTATCAACGAAATGATTTTTTTCGATCTCTTACATCTCATGAAAATTTTGTTCAATTCTGAAACACGAAAAATGAAGCACTTACCAGCCAGCCAAAGGGAAGAACGTATTGAATGTGTAAGACATGAAATGTTGCTTTTTTATGTTAATCAGCATGTTAAATCACTTTCAAACAAGAAACCAGATCACATATAATCGAAATTGATTTGTGCTTAAAGCACGGTGTAGATAAAATGACATCTATAACGAATTCTGAGCAAGAAGATAAAGAATATAATCCATTATCATGTTCGAAGAAGAAATATGCTTCTTATCCTATTTTGACAAAGGCTACTGCTCGTGTATTAGCTGTACCAGTTATCAGTGTAGCTGTTGAACAAGAGTTGAGTTTTACTGTTAAGATAATTACACAAAAAGGACTCAAAATTATCACCAGATATAGGGAATGCTTTTCTTTTTAATCATTCATACAGTAATTTGCCAAGAATTTTAGTAAATTTAAACTTTATTCAGTTCGGTTCAAGGAAAACACAAACTAATTCCATCACTGTTGCATATGTATATCGTCAACGTCTTATTTCAGTAACCAATTTCGTAAGTCTTAGAGTGTGTATTTCAGTTTTTGATTGACTAATAATTGATTGAAATATTGCTAAGTTTGAACAATGCGCTCATAGAAACTGCCACAATCTCAGTGTCGTATATATATATATTTATTTTATTATTTTTTTTCTACGACCAGCTGATTCGCGAAATCAATCTTCGTTCGGATCCATTTAGTGGAGATATTATTCAAGCATTAAAATCTAGTTGTACAAAATCAGTCAAACATTAGAATCATCGAAGAAAAGAAAATATTCCTGAAGGTAATACATTTTATTAATCTTTGTATAGTATTATCTGTAGATTAGAAGAGGAAACGTTTTTCACATTAGAGAATTTGAGTATGAAACGTAACAAACATTCCAAAAAACTATAATTGAACCATGTGAGTAATCTATTGATTATTTTCAAGTTATTGTACAATTTTCATTGCGTAATTTTATCATTGTTTATTTTAGGAAGAAATTGATTCTTATCCAATAATATGATAAAAATATTACAATAAATTTGCAAGCTGAAGCTATGCCTGTTTTAATTAGATCATATGTATGAAAAATTTAATATAAAATATCCAGCAAGGATTCGATCAATCTTAGAGGTGCTGAACGGTTTTTCATTTAAGAAATGTTTATTTTTCCTTGTCATTTGCAGCTAAACAATTTTTTGAAATGAACATAAATTGAATAATCATTCACTACGAAGATACATTTTCTAGGTATAATGATATGTAAGATAGAATTTCTCAAACTGCTAGACAGTTTATTTTGCGTATTTTTGTGCAGTTTTTTCTTGATCTTGTTAAAATTAACTTATTTGTCAGTTCTTTCTTGAGTAGTTTTCGAACTTTTTTTTCCTCATCAGTTTTTAGCTATTTTTTTGGTGTATAGTATGTTTTTGAACATGAAATAAAATACATCAAACAGAAGTTATAAATTGAGAAACAAAATTTAACTCGTTATGTCTTTATACAGGAATTTTCAATGCACAATAAGCGTATTGTTTTTATTCATCGTCGCTTTATTGTTGTGACGCACGTTATTTCTTTGTTCGTTGATTGCAGTTTGAAATAGTTAGAGAATAAGATAAATACTCATTTTAACTGTCAAGAATAATGCAAATCACATCAATCAAAAGCACAATAGTAATATATTTTGCTTGATAAAGAATGAGAAAGAAAAACAACCATTTGATGATACAGAACAGTTTTTTTGCATATGCATGAGGTTTTGATAATATCGAATAACAAAAGGATATTCAATGATTTTTAATTTTGATCTTCACTCGATATATTTTGAACGCTGTTCATCTTTGTTTTATGACAAGAAGTGCTGCGAACTACTCTGTGATGATAGATAAGATCCAGCTATGTTTCCTTTTTAATAAGCGACTTTGGAGACTGAAAAAGACAATATTTGAAAAATATGGCACTTCAATTAGTAGCAAATGTCACAGAAGAAAACATGATCGACAGCACATCTGTTATAGTTTCTAGAACTGTCACTGTAGAACTTTCAATGTGTCTGAATGAGGACCAGTGTAAACAAGTGAGTCAGAATTTTTTTTAATTTAAAAATGAAGATAAAAATATATAAAGTTCATTTTTTTAAATCAAGCATTTAACACAAACATGTGCCATCATCAGGCCATTATAACAATTTTTAGAGAACTTCGAGAATATATTAATGGTTTTATAATTGATCAAGTTTCTTCATTTGTAATTCTTTGACTAGTCGTAATTTTGGATCCACTCAAAAGATATTGCTGTCG